AATAAATATAGAAAATTTTAGGAAAAGTCGCTTTGATAATCTTACGCGTATACTAAGGTTGTAATTCAAATTTTTATTGGGAAATTTCGCGCATGTTATTAAGGAAATAGAATATTTTGTAATGTAATAATACTATAGTTATTTTACGTGAATAGAAGAGATCGAATAAGGTGGTTCAAATTTAGCAACCTTCCCCTATTTGACATTTCTATTATACTGTCAGCTCATCGAAATTCTATCGATTTTATTTTAACTTAATTTCCCTTGTAGAGATTCAAGATCGTATAGCTACCAGGATAATGTCTTTGGCCACTTCTGTGCTAGGGATTAAGGAAGTGCTGTCCAACTTTGCACTTTAGAGCTAACAGCCATCCTCCACCACTGGCCACTGTTAGTGTGGAGTAACAGCGACAACATCCTAAGCTTCTTTGTTTACGAAGGCACACGGCGCGAAAGAGAGTTTCGAAGGGGAAACAAGCGCGCGAGGGACCCCTCCCAAGAGCCAACTCGGACAGCATTGGATTAGGAGCTCCTAAGGCTTCAAGCCTAATCCAAACGAGGCTAAGTCCAGAGCTTGTCAACTGTCGGCAAACATCGACTTCTACTAAAATCTTAAATGTACACACCGAATCCTTGTCAACGTCCTATTTAGCTACCAAAATACAACCGGTTCACCATATTGAGAACCTTATAGAGGCAATCGAAGCTCCATTACAACCAGTCGCAAACTCCCCATCTCACAAGCTAGACACCTCCATCCTCGAAGATCCTCCCACCTCTATCATCGTCGATCAGCTAATGACAGACCAGAAATCCCGACTATCAACCAACCGCACACGTTCGAACGACAAACTTGCAAATGCCGCGGATAATAACACGACGGGACCAGATACATACAAGGCAGAACGATCTTCCAAACGACCTGGTTCCCCTGTCGCCTAATGCTCGGTGTACTGTTTCCCTGAATTGAGACATTACCCTCACTGGAACGTAAACTCGTGGTGTACTCTTTCTTTCTCTTCGGATTTTCGCTGGTTTTCCACGATAGACCGGCGAACCAGCGTGATGATTACACTCAGAGACTTCAGAGATCGTTTCGAAAGCAATTTCCATCGACCTACCTATCTGCTTATGCCACGGTCCGCGAGCGATCACCGGATACCCTATCCTCCGCCGAGAGCATTTATATCGCGGCGGGCAGACGCAGAGGCGTGCGCAATATTTCGCCTGTCCACGGACTAGCTTTCAGGGGAACACGGCTATCAGTAAATTGCCGTCGCGAAAATTACGAATATCTCGGCTCGTATTTCACCCGGCCGTCGGGGAGGGAGGGAATGATTTCGCGCGTCGTCGGGAAATTTATCGGTCGCCCCGGCGTTAACTCTCAGCTGCGACGCCCAGTTCGCGCACGCTGCGCGACCAAAACCGATCGGGCTTGGGAATTTTCGTTTTCGCTGGAACCTAGCGAGTGCTCTCTCGCTTTCACAGCCTCTGGGCCTCCCGATGAAAGCGTTCTTCGGGGCAGTTTATCGGCTGCATGTCGGACTTTCTCTAGGGATTTCGACGGTACGAAGATTACTGTGATTATTGCGCGTTTCGTGGCGGGGGTCAAGAGGATTTTTACACTCTGACAGGTGAAAAGGCTTCGAAAGGTGGCGATCGGTTGCTGTTGGTAAAATTACATCTTTGCTGGAAATGGTGTACTGGGAGATGTTGGTAACTGGGATAAGATAAATCTTCGATATTCAGATAGAAAATATAATGTGAAGCTACTGGACCTTTCTGTACCTTTAATTGCAGGGAACGTAATTTCGACGCTCGTAACATCACACCCCTGTTTATGCAAGCGAATAGTGTAACAGTTTCAGGTCCTTTTTTCACATAGAATCCTATAATTCTAAGTGTGTACTAATGGATATAGATTTTTTATTCAGTTCGTTGAAAATACAAAGTTCTTTTGTTCTTTCTAGCAGTTTATATTACGATTAAGATTAGACTTCGCAAAATATAGGTTGATCATGATGGACTCCCTCGTGTTAGAAGATCACGCGTGAGGCTACCAAAATATGGGCCTCAGCCGCCATTAATTCCCCATCAATCTAATACTCCTATTATCAACACAACGACCTATTATTCCTGCAAATGCTGCTATTAATCAATAATACCACGTGAAATACAAGCGTGAATATCACGAAACTTCCAAAGGATCGCGTAACCTCCCGTGCAAACACATTAAGGTCCAAGAATCGATCAGTCTAATGCACCCCATACTCCCCGTAGCATCTGACGACCGGATCCTAATTGCAGCGACGCGTACGAAATCTCCCCGAATGGAAGAATAACGAGCGGAACGGGGGAGGAACGCAGACGGAATATTCCCAAGGGAATATGGTTCCTCTTCCCCGAAGCCGCCTCGAGCCGGCGTTTGTTTCACGGAGGTAACGATCCACGAGATCTCATTTACAGTACAAATTAGTGGTAGGGCCGGGTCCACGGGGCCCTTAATGGTCGACCGGCACGCAAAGAGGGTTTAGGTTTAATGAAGACCCGCGCTTTATCCCAGACGAAGGAGCTGGCTCGCGACTACGCGACCAAGAACCGAGAGCAGAGTCCCTCGTGAATGCAAGTTAAACGAAGATTTATGCCGCGCCGCGTAAATATAAACAACAATATGCAATCCCCGGGCTCATTGTCCCGGCGTACAAGGCGCGAGCGGCGACCAATGGCGAACTAATAAGAGGACCGAGCGAGGAGCGCGAACACGCCCGACGTTAGCACACACAGAAAGACGCGAGAGGACCTATCGCAGCACGCTCCGCCTGGACTAATTGACCAAGGTGTTGGGGATCGGAGATCCTTTGTCCGGGGTGGTTCGAGTTTGCTGGTGAACCTGAATGAAGATACGAACGACCATTCAGATTCTTTGGTATTCGTGGCGTGTCGCGGTTTTCAGCTGCCCTCTCTCGGTTGTTGGAATTGTTGGATTCCGGGTTATGGTATTGAGTGCAACACTTAATAAAAGAATCTTGAAGAGGTTTATTCGTCTACGCGTCACAGAGTTGAAAAAAAAAATAAACTTCACCTCAGATTCACGACGTCCCCAATTATTTCCCATTACAGTAATATCTCGATGAGTGCACAGCATTCATGGCAAGGCGGAAATGTATTCAGCCCCTCATAAATTTATCGTTCATCCGAAGTCAAGCCTCTGCTTACCTTCTGTTTTCTCTGTTTCGATTGATTTCAGAGGGAAATGTTGCATTCATCGAGCAATCACTGTATTTCCCACATAATACACTTCCCAATTACCGAAACGAACGTTCCATCGGTCCTGATATCCAGAAAGACTTCTACAAGCATCCTCACTTAATTGTTCTCGAAATCAGCCGAATATCCTCTCTCGAGGGCCTCATCCCCGTTCATCAAGAAAACCGTAACAGATCGCGGAACGAGCAGGTCCCTCATCCCCATCCGTTGAATTTCTCCGTGCGGTAATGCGCGAGCGTATTAAATGAACCGGTTTTAATGAATTTGCTCGTCCTCGCGGGCTACGTACGCGGCGCGTATAGCCTCCCCTTCCCTTCCCCACGAAAGAGACTAATCGACCGGGGCGTAACGAGCCACCGAGCGGCGCGTTCGAGGCGATTCCGTTCCTCGCCCGAAGAATTTCGTCTCCGCGAGAGAGCTGGACGACGCGCGGCGTTTTTTGCCCGGCGCGCGCGATTCGGAAATTTGTCTGTCGCTGCCTTAATACGCCGGCTGTCACGCGCGTCGACGCTCATCCATCCAGAGTGCTTCTGGCAGGTACCCGCGGCGCTAGAGAGGGATGATGCTCTCCTCTCCTTCGTCTTCTTCTTTTCCCTGGTAATTTACTGGGTTCCCATGACGCAGATTTCTCGCTCGACTCGCGGACTCGTTTTCTGACTCGGGGGTTAGTTAGCACGGTGGCCATATTTCTTCGCTCGTTTTCGTTTGTATTCGCGCAAACGAGGCAGTCGAGTCCGTTCTGGACGGTGTCCAGGCGATCGTCGCTAATGCTCCGCTTAACCCTTTCTCTGGCGCGGTGAAATTGTGTGTTTCTAGAGTATTGGAGCTGATTCAGCAGATTATATCGGCTGTGGCGCTTCTTTTTTATTTATTGAGCTTTATTTTACGCGTAATTTACCCCTTTAACGCACAGACTCTTAAATTGTTATTTCGAAATTATGAGACTATCGAATCTGAGACACAACTTCCTTCAACTTGAAATTCACCATTTCAGTACAAGAAATTTTCACAGTTAGAAAATTATTTCTCACATTTGTAATCATTAACACCATTGAAATTCTGAAGAAATGGGGTGTGACTTCTGAGGATTATTAGGGGAAATAAATTTCTGTCTGATTCTCCCGTTTTTAAATTCCTATATCGAATGGTAGATTTGCATAAATATCCGACAGTTTAAATACTCTCGATGATTATAGTGCTCGAGCACCTGAAGAAAGTCGATTTACTCTGAACCGTCTATAATCAAACATCCCCGTGGCTGACAATCATAGTGCCTCTAACGATTGCACCACAGGTTGAACCGTCTATAATCAAACATCCCCGTGGCTGACAATCATAGTGCCTCTAACGATTGCACCACGTAACCATGTTACCAGCAAATATTTAACAAATTAGCCACTGTATCCAAATGAATGTAATACATTCTGGCCTAATGGGTCCCTATATTAGTATACGGATACTATGTCCTTCATTTAGATACGGCTTCTTTTTTACACAGTGGTCAAAATCACCACAATTTTTTTACCCGACGAGGCTTAAATTACTTTTTTGCACACGTTGTCTATCGAAGACACAAACACCAGAAACAAAAGAAGATACGTATTTTACGTACAACTGACACTAAAAGAACCTAATAGTTATTGATACCACTCTCTCCACAAAGGGTTAACAGTAATTTTTTCCGCCCGAAGCGCACGGACAGAAGAAAAAAAAAAGCGTTATGATGTACTCACAATGTCCTCCATGCTGTGATTTCCGGCGTGCATAAATCCGTGATACGTACAGCTTCCCACGGGTGTCGTGCGAAGCGTAGCAACATGCACACGCGGCGTTACTATCTCGGTCGGATCGCACTCCCCCGACAATCTGGCCTGTTTTCCCCCGTGGTTCGCGCGGGTAATCACACGTTCCCCGGTTCACCTGACATCGGCGTACTCGCTGTCATCCGCGGTATCATCGTTTACCAGATCCCACCTGAGCTCACGTCGCAAACCTTTCCTCGAGCTCTTCGAATTCCTCTTTCGTCCTTGCTACGAAAGTACTTCTCATCCCTCATAACACTATATCCACCGTAAAAACTGTCCCTTTATCCAACACGGGCCACAAACCTCTCTTCTTCACCGAATCACACACCATCAACGAGGGGAAATCCATCAACCGACAAAAACGCGTCTGTTTCCGATCCTCATTCCCTGTATTCAACTTGTCCCCCGGGCGACACGAGAATCGACAATCGTCCCATTCACGTACACACCACAAAATCCCCGGTGAAAACAAGTAAACACACACGCGAGACCTTCACCGCAAGATCGTCGCGAGGATCGTCGTCACCGGTGCACGGTGACAACGACAGTCAGGGTGGTCCGGGGTCCGCGACATCCTCCTACCGGTCGTTGAAATCTCCAGGCGTGTCGATTCGGCCGCGCCGCAGTATCCTTCCTCTCCCCCGAACGAAGAAGCTTTTCCCGCACAACGGAATTGTATCTCCAATTTCACCCACTGTGTATCATACAAGCCGAGCACAATCGATCCCTGCGCGGAATACCTACGGTACGATCTCCATTCGTCACGATGTCACACACTCGATGGTCCCGGTCGGTTATACCCACTCGAATCAGGGGTCTGCTCCGTTTTTATCGCGGTCGATCCGCGGTCGATGGCGGAGCCACGGGACCACACACACGCGCACAGAAGGTTGTCCTCGGAAGAGTTCGTAGAACGGCGTCGGAGTACACGGTGGAACACACACGCGAGGCGGATGGAAAAAGGACGCGCCGGAGAGCCACCCGTTCGCCGGCTCGGGCTGAATCTCACTGACTCCGGTTGCGACGGCGGCTCTCGGGCCTCGCCGCGACGTGCTGCGACCGTAGGAGAGGGAGAGAACCGGTGGTATAGAGCAAGAGAGATACAATCGTGTCGCTGGGAGAAGGAAGAAGGGAGTGGATGGTTGGAGGGGAGGGGAGGTTTCAGGCCCTTCCATCGAACCCCTCCAACTGGCCTACCGGGTGCCCAGGGCTTCGACCATTATCTCTGTTAGGCACCGCGGACCACGGTCCCCCTTGGACAACAGAGGAAAGAGGGTTACCGAGGGCTTTATTATATTTACGAGGCGTTATCGGCCCAATCCAACAATATTGATTCCGCGCCGCGAAGAGATCGGCCATCTTCGAGTACGCCCAGTACATGAACCCCCAACTCCCCTCCCTCACTTGCTGGTCACCCACCCTCTCTTTTGGGTTACGGAGCGTGCACGCTACCGGAGCGCTCGCGGCGCCCTTAGTCTTTTTCCGCTCGCCTATCTCGCACCGCGCACGGAATTATGCGAACGGACTGAGAGCCCTGGACCTTCCTTTCTGTTCGCTTTTGTGGGTGAGTTTTGAGTTGTTATCGTAGAGTAAGGACCATCCTTAAACCTTCGTGTCCGAGTTCGATGTATTATTGATGTTGAGATGATTTTTAACCCTACTGTTGTTACTCAATTATTCTTCACGTTTGTATCCCGTAGGATAAAATTATTCTAAATTTCAAAATAATTTGTTCTTAAGAAACTGAAGATATGTAGAAAGTAGACGTGAAATTTAAATACGTTCGATACTAAAATGAAATATTTCAAATCATAATACCTATCAAAATATAATCTTCACCTTGGGTCATATAGACTTATTTCTTTCTCATAAAAAATGAAAGCTTTTATACTGAAAGTGCAGTCAGTTGGGTCTCGAAGTTAGTTCCATGAATTTCCTCCGACCGATTTCGATTTCCATAGAGCGAGGTTGTAAGGGAGAGGTGATGCGGGTTTTCGTTTATTCGGATTCTTCTTGATTCCCCGCGGGACATAGGGGTGACCCTCCACCAGGAGGTGATTTTTCGAGATCTGTTAAATTGGATAGCAGTGGTCGGTAAGCGAGAACGTTTTCGATTCGATGGCGGCGGAAGTTGTGTAACGCGGTAATTTATTCTTCGTCTAGCAGACGATTACCATCCCCGTGTCCCCACCCTTTCTCGTTGGTCCATAGATCGCTTCCCGGATGAGTTGTTTTTTCCCCGTAGCGGGAATAAAAACGAGTTTCTCGTATGTATTAGACGTCTTTATGAAGTATCGTGCCGTCGCCGTACCTGACTTGCCCTCACTCGAGGTCATTGTCTTCATAATCCCAGTTCTCGTTTCTGTACCGACGATATCATGCCCGTCAGTGATTTAGGTGAACTCTATTATGGCGTTCGTCCGGCATACATATTGTCATATTAGAGGCGGAATCTTCTTTACGACGGTGCCGCCTATCCAAGCCGTGCGATCAAACAGTGAAATAAATACGTCTATATTTTGATGTCTCTGTTTAGTTTTCAGACCCACTTTCCTGTTTGCCGTAACTTCCCTGTTCCTAAGTGACTGTTATTCATTCCCAGATGGTGGTTCTGTGCAATCTCTGCTCGGGAATTTTTCGCAAAATCTTGTTTTCGTTTTTTTTTACAGGTCGTGTAAACCTTCGGACTGCTGATATTTTGTCGTAACAGTCAAAATTTGCCTATAAAGCGACGGTAATGTTATAACTAACCTGTGAATGTTTATGTAGATTCGTGTTTTTATCAGTCTTCTTATTAGGCTCTCTGTGTTTCAATATATTGTCAACGCAAAAATGTATCAGCATTCCGATTGTAACTAACGAGAGAGAAAAACATGATTTCTTTTACGTGGTCGATTAAAATTAATGTTCGAATAAACGAACTGACCCGATGCAATATTGCATCCTTGCATCTAAAACAATTAATTTTTTTGTCAGATACCGAACATCGAGCAAATTCTACACGCCTGGATGAATGCAAAACACATAAACGTATACTAATGGAAATCGACAACCAAATTTCTATCCCCTTTGACGACCATTCCACCACTTTCCTTATCGAAACGATTGCATCCTCTACAGACCGCACATCAACAAATTAAAACCCGTGACCTTTATCAAACAATTTTCAACTCACAACCAGAATAATCAAGCAAACAAGAAATCCAACGACCTAATAGTTCCTCTACACTACCGTACGCGTCCAGTGATTTCAACGCCGCGATAAGTAGGATCGCCGAGCCTCAAAGGCTAACCGTCCATTTCATACTCGCATCGTTCCCGGTGGTTCTTACCGTTACGACGTCCACGCGGTACAATCGATTACACGCGATTCCAGCCCTTAAACGTCGTCGAAAAGTACAAACGTGATCGTTATCAGCGGGACGGAGCCATGGAACACGTCGCGTCGTCGTAATAATCGCGGCACAAAGAAAGTGTCCACGATTACGTCTCACGCGGCGCAACCGGCCAGGTCTGGTACGGGAGCGGATTCCTCGTGCACGCGCTTCGAAGCGTTCAGGTGTGTATATGGGACCGTTCAGATATATACAGGGTGTCCCATCTGACGTGAGCAATATAAATACTTTTAGTATCTCACTTCTGATTTGCAGACAATTTATTTTAACGAATTCTCAAACCGATGTCCATCAACTATAATACATTTTTGCACTAATCCCTCTATTCTAGCTACTTTATTATTTAAATCTACTATCATACGTTTGTGGATTTTTCGTACTCCAAGTCATATGAAGATTACACCGTTATAGGTCACTCGATTGATCCTGATCTCAACTATTACGCGACACTGACACGAATAGCATATATATAAATATATATAATTACAAAAAAATATTGTACATGAAAATTTCGTAAAATATGACCTTGAGTAAATATTACTTGTCATAGTAATTTGCTCGTTTTAATCAAATAATACTTTTCCCTCGTATTTGGTTTGTATTTTAAAGAACAAGTGAGATATTGAACGGTGTTCACATTAGGTGGGACACCCTGTATACGCGACCGTATGTGTGGGTGGGCATCGCGTAACAGCTGATCGTCGCCGTTGATCGAAACGCCGGAGCAGGAAGCTGCGGACGTGTACCCGCGGCTCGCCTCCCATTTGTACCGCGGGCTGCCTCGGAATTTCATCCGTATTAGATTTAACTGTAACGATAACGATATCGTATCTCGACCCTCCTCCCACACGACTCCCTCCCTTTTCTCTCTGTGTCGCTCCAGGCGCCGTGTCCTCGGCTTCGATCCACTCTGCTCTTGGGTTCGTTTCGATTTCGATTCCAGCGGTGTCAGTGTCCTTTCAGTCGGTGATATTGATTCCATTGACGGGTCTATTCAACCCTTGCGGCACTGAAACCACTTTATAGATCGATGATTTGATCTATGACACTGCCGAGAAGTGAATAGGCAGAGTGTGATTTTTTTCTTACAGTTGTCTGGATGGGAATGGTTCGATTTAATTCTTGCTTGGCGAGGCTGGACCATCTCTGTCTCGAGGTAGTGACGATAAGGACATTCGATGACCGTCGACTGATGGTGATTGTGCGATAATCAATTAAAAAATAAATGGATACCTATGCCTTATGAAAAGAGTCGAGTCAGTGACTGTAAAAAAAAAAAAGCTAAAGGATAAATATCTAAATTAAATCAGAAATGATGAAATGGTATATTTTATAAATGGTACCTTTTTTTATATGCAATTTATGCAAGTAATGCAAGGAATCCATAGCAAAAAAAAGTATTCGGTCTGTTTAACACAGAAAGTCTCTAAGAAGAATTCATCGAATGCAATTAAATGGACTAACGATTTCAATCGACTGGCTAATTATTAATGCATTCCTTTTTTTCCGCGTGAGTCAATGCTGCCCGACGATTGTGCAACGAAAGTGTCGCAAAGTCTCGCGGGA